TCTTGCTGTATAGCCCAAGTTGGCCTCAAACTCACAATCCTTCTGCCTCAGCCTCCCAAGTTCTGGGTTTATAGTATACACCACACGCTTGGCTTCCACACCTGGATTATTTCAATACCATCCAAAGGGATCTTCCTGCTCTCCCTTGCTTCCTTACAACCTGTTCTCCACACACTCAGAGACTCTTATTAAATGTAAGTCAGATCCTGTCCTCTGCTTTCCATCTAACTGAGAATAAATTCTGATGTCCTTATCATGGTCCCTTGACAAAGATGTCTGCTCTCATGACTTTTTTTATATTTTGGTGGTTGTGTTGAGGATGGAAACCAGGACCTTGCATGTGTTAGGTGAGCACTGTACCACTGAATCACATTCCCACCGCTTTATCATAGTCAACAAGGCCTTCACGATCTGAACCTGGCAGCTTCTCTGACTTTGCGTACCCCACTACACTCTTCCCTGCTTATTAAAGGCCACCCTTCTGTATCAAGGGCTTTGCACCTGGAGTGCTTATTCCCCACTTATTGTGCAGCTGAGACCTGTACTACTCCTAAACCTCCTCTCAAATGTCATTGCTATGGGAGGAGTCTTCTGAGACCTCTCTATCTAAAATAGCAACTTCGACCCCTCAACCTTCCACTCCATCTATGTTCTATCTGCTTTATTTTTGTACATCATGTTTTTCTCATCCAATATGTTTTATGAACATTAATTTACATATTTGTTACGTGTCTTCCCCCACCTAAAGTGTTGGCTTCATGAATTAGAGATTTTTGTCATTGTCCATTGCTTTATTATCTAATGTGCCTAAAATAGTGCAGGGCACACGCTAGGCACTCATTGTTTAATGTATGAAAGGTAAATTCTTTGGGGGAAGAAATTTATGCTATGGAGCAAGCACACTGAGAATGAGTGTTTGTAGAGATTTCCATTGTTATGAACACACTTGGTTCTATGTGCCTTTGTAAGATACTTTTACTGTGATGACCTTCAGCAAAAAGCATTAAAATAAACTGAAATTAGGACCAGAATTACAAATCACTGTATTATATAGTAATGAACCATAATTTAAAAAACAGTGAAATTTTTCATTACGTAACTATTACTAATATTTCAGTGAAAGGAAAGTTGCTTATTAGGTTGATAAGTTATTTAAATGTTTATCTCATTGTTTTATATTATATGTCTCCTATGATACACATCACTAGAACAGTCCTACGTATGTGTGATTTATACAAAAATACATACAATAGGGATGCATGTCCAAAACTGTTTTCTGATGTCTTGTTATCTAGAAGAGGTATTAAGATAGAAATAGATCCAGGCACATGTTTTAGGTTTTGGTTCATCACTATTCTAGTTCAAGGACCAATTTGTATAACTTAGTTCTTACTGTGTAACAAACATAGTGACTTAAAACAAAACCATTTCAGTGCACACTTGTAATCTCAGCTCTCAGGAAGTGGAGGCAGGAGGATTGTGAGTCTGAGGCTACCCGGGGCTGCAAAGCCAGTTCCAGACTAGCCTGGGCTACACAGTGAGTTCCAGGTCAGCCTAGGCGACATATTGAGACCCAGTCTCAAAAAAAAAAAAAAAAAGTGAAAACAAGTAACATTTTGTTGACTCACAATTCTGATCCACTTAGCATCAGCCGAGGTCATTTACATGAGGTCTACTGCATACGAGGCTGGGAGGTCCAAGAAGCTTCATTCAGGCGTGATTTCTTATGTGCCTTCTATCTTACATGCCTGTTTGGGCTTTCTCACAGCATGGTTGTCTCAAGACAGTCGGATTTCTTTCTTACTATGGCAGCTGACTTTTCACGAAGGAGCATCCTAATAAGAGCAAAAGCCAAAGTCACAAAGATCTTGCTTTGGAAGTTGTACATCGTTGAAACAGCATCTACTGGCCAGCGATGATCACAAGACCAGTCCAGATGCAAGGAAGGGGGTAAATGGATCTCATATTTCAATGATAGTGGCATTTCCAACCACAGACTTCCTTTACACATCACTAAGTTAATTCCTATAGCTGTATGCAGCAGTAATTTATCCTTTCCATTATATTCCACTTATGATTAGACTACAATTTGTTTATCCATCCTATTGCTGGAGATTTGCGGGTTTTGCTATTACAAAGTAAGATTTATGAAAACAATCACACATATCTTTTGCTGAACATATGCACTCCTTCTCTTGAGTGTATGTCTAGAAGTGGAGTTGCTAGGTCATAATTAGAGTATACTTAGTTTTACTTCTAAACAGTTTTCCAAAATGCTTCTACCAATTTATACTTCCATCAGCAAAGCAGAAGAGATCCAGTTTATGTGTTTGTGCTCAATCTTGATATTGTCAGTCTTTTTAACTTTAAATATTCTGCTGGGTATGTAATAGTAGCTCATTGTGGTTTTAATTTTCATTTTTCTGGTCAATAGTGATGTTAAGCACACTTTAATGTATTTATTGACATTTAGTTATCCTCTTTTGTGAGATACCTGTTCAAGTCTTTTGCTTATTTTAACAGGATTGTTTACTATTAATTTGTAGGCTATCCTTGTTATGTAAGTCTGTCAAGCCAGGCACTAATGGCTCGCACCTGTAATCCTAGCTACTCAGGAGGCAGAGATCAAGAGGATTGTGGTTCAAAGCCAGCTGAGCAAAAAGTCTGGTAGACTTTACCAGCTATACCATTTAAGATTGGAGTTTTCTTTGTGAGATTTTTATTTTATTTTATTTTCAGTACTGGGGGTGAGTCCAGGGCCTCACTACCACTGGAGCCACACCCTCAGCCAGTGAGAACATTTTAAAAATAGTTATTTCCTAAATAGCTATAGGATTGTTCAGATATTCTATTTCTTCTTGTGTAACCTTTTGATAACTTGTGTTTTTCTAGGAATTTGTCCATTTCCTCAAAATTTTCAAATTGACCTAAAGTTGTGCATGACAGCCTCTTACTGGTTATGATATTTGAAGTGGTACCACTTTCATCATCCTAATATTAATTAATTTTGTCTTGCTTCTTGATCAATCTGTCCAGGTTTACTGAATTTTTCATTATTTTCAAAGAGGTAACATTGGTTTGTGGAGCATTTCTATTGAATGCTTGCTTTTTAAAAGTTAATTTCTCCTCCATATATATTTTTTGATGGGTCTAGGGTTTGAACTCAGGGCTTCATGTTTATAAACCACACATTCTATCCTGTGAGCCACACCTCCAGTCCACTTTGCCTTGCTTATTTTGGAGATGGGGGGGTGGTCTTGTGAGCTATTTGACCAGACTGGTCTCAAATCATGATGCTTCTGATCTGGGTCTCCCAAGTAGCTAGGATTACAGGTGTGAGCCACCAGCACCCAGCTTCTTATCTTTTTAATTTCCTTCTTCCCATTATTTTCCAGTTTAACCTTCTTTTTCTAACTTCTTGAAATATATGTCTGTATCAAAAAGCCTCTCTCAGTGAGAACTTTCTTGACCATCCTGTTGTCACTGGGTGAGGGGGCGAAGGGGTTCTCTCAGAATCCTAGTTTCCACACAAAATCACAGGTAGTTGAGATCCACACAGGTGAAAAAAATTTCAAGTTGTCTCACAAAAAAAAAAAAAAGGAGAGTCTCACAAGGTGGAAATTTTTATCAAGGATTTTAGTATAATAGGATAAAATAGAGAAGAATGGGGGAAAAGGAGAAACATTTTCTGCATTTCAAAGAGGAAATGGGAATAAACACTCCTTGTTTAACGAATAAAATAGTTAAATTTATTGAGCCCTTACTATGTGAGGCTTAACTACATGGGTTTACAAGTAACACATAATTTTTACATAGAAGGAAACTAAGGCACAGGTAAGAAGGAAAGTCATAATTAGAAATCTAGGTCTAGGCGGGCAATGCTGTCTCACACCTGTAATCCTAGCTACTCAAGAGGCAGAGATCAGGAGGACGGCAGCTCAAAGCCAGCTCAGGCAATAGTGCTCCAGACCCTATCTCGAAAAAACCACAGAAAAGATCTGGTGGAGTGATTCAAGGTATAGGCCCTGGGTTCAAACCCTACTACAGCAAAAAAAAAAAAAAAAAAAGAAAGAAAAGAAAAAGAAATCTAGGCTTAAGGGCTGGAGATGTAGCTCAGTGGCAGAGCGCTTGCCTAGCATATTCCATGCAGAGAGAGGGAGGTCCCCAAATTAAAACATAATTATAACTCAGCAGCCTGTGTTCTTTCTTCAAACCTGGAGACCTCTGACTTTTTCAAGTTTTACCAAGGTCTTGTTTTAGTATAACAGGTAAAGTAGGGAGAAATGAAAAAAAAAAAAAAGCGAGGGTTGGGGGGTGGTGGTGGTGGTGGGAACACGACATTTCCTACTCCCTATGCAGGAAATGGGAGTAAAGGCTCAAAATTATAGTTTTCATCAGTGGCCTTTATGCTTTCTGAGCTGGGGGAATATCACCCCAATCCTAAAACGATTGTTTCTGGGTAGAGAAGATGGGTGTAGTCTATTGTTCTAAAACATGGAGATGCGGTCTTGGCCTACTCAAAACACAGGGACAATAGGTAATTTTAGGATTCCCTTTGCCAGTCTTGCCTTCCAATTCTGTGACTCTTTACCCACTGGAAAGAGTTTATAGCCGTTAAACATGCCGAAGGAGGAGTGATGCAAACAGCCCCTTCATCTAGACGTCCTGTTTGAAGAGGGCTCGGAGCCCACGCTGACACCCTTCCACGTGGATCTAGCAATCACTCCGCGGCGGGCGCCGCTCACTTGCTTATTGGTTGGTTTTAGGCTCCGAGAGCAGCGCGCACAGACTTCCCTGGGGCAGGCCCGGAACCCAACGGCAGGGGCTCGAGTTTCCGGCCGGAAGGCTCCTTCTCGGGCTCCCGGAAGTGGCGCTCGCTGCCGAGGTAACGGGTCCCGGCGGGGGCGGCGCTGTGATGGACTTTGAGGAGACGGTGAGGAGGTGGCGCGAGCAGTTGTCTCTGATAGCTGGGGCGCGAGGGGAGTGAGGCTGAGGAGCATGGCCCCAGGAGGACGTGGGCGAGGGATGAGCCTGGCGGGCCGCGTGTGCGCGCGGGTTGGGAGAGGCTGGAGTGTGCGGCTCCAGCACGTTGTGGGTGAGGGAGGGTGATGTGTTTTTCTTTAGGGGTGAAGCTGTGGGTTTGTGGGGTGCTCACCCGCGTGGCTCTTCCTCGGCGAGACCACACGACAGTCCGGTGCGATGCTGGAGAGGGTGAGGGAGGGGCGCGGCGGGGCTGGACTCTGGCCGTCGGTCTTTCTGGGAATCCAAATCCGGGTCTGCCCAGTTACCACTGTGGTTGTCCGTCAGTACGGTCATGGAAAATTGTACCAAAATAAATTCGGCACGCATTTTTGATACGCTGCATAAAGTGCTGCACTCTTTGGCGATATTGAAATCGGTAATTAAGTCAGCCACAATAAATCAAACACCAAAAAGCAGAGAATTAGTCTGTGTGTGCACAGTTACTGCGATGGTAAAAGGTCTTGTAAGTAGGTGGTCAGTACATGTTAATTGAATGATGGATAATGTCTAAATGCTAAATTGATGAAATTACAATGAAAATTTACCATAAACCATACATACATGGTTTGAGTAGATCACCTGTTCTGCTCAGTGTTGAATCTCCAGCACCCAGTTAAGGGATGGGGGTGTGGCTCAAGTGTAGAGCTCCTGTGTAGCCGGCGTGAGACCCTGAGTTCAAACCCCAGTACCGCAAAAAAAAAAAAAAAACGTGGTACCCAGTTAAATGTCTAGTGTACACATAGTTGATACCCTTTACACTGTTGAATAAATAAAACTTGAAGCAACTGCAATAAAAATCTAGTTGCGTTGTGATTTGTGTTTTTAGTATCCTGGAGGAAGTTCTATTTCTAATTTTTGTCCGAAGTCTTGTCTGTATTTACATTTTTTCAATTTTTTCCTCAGACCATTTTTCAAGTTTTGTTTACTCCTCTTTGTTTCCAGTTTACTTCTACCACCTTTTCTTTTTTCTCACACATATTTTAAGACATTTTCTATAATAGTTTTAGTTTCATACTGGTCAAGAGATACATTTTCAGTTTTCTGTGATTTTTAAATTTTTATTTATAAGGAATCCTTCAAAAAGAACTAAGAACTGCAGAGTTTTGATAAATGTGTTGAACGTGGTTTGATAGTAACACCTTTTCTGTCTTCTTCCTTAGAAAGAGTTTAAAGCACGCTGTTCCCAGTGTGGTGCTGTCTCTTGGGGTCTTACTGAAGAAGGCAAATATTACTGCACTTCTTGCCACAATGTTACAGAAGTAAGTTACTGATATCATTTATGAGTTTGTTTATGTTTTAAAAATTGTGGTTTCAACCTGATATGTAGCATAGTTCTCAAAAGTTGATTTTTTAAAAAAATCACTCATACAATTCCCCAATTCCAAGAATGTAAGTAGTTTTCAAGTGCTCACTCTTAGGTTAAAGAATTTGTGAGTTAGATTGAGGTTAAGCTTATGAAAGTATGTTGAGCCATACTTATAAATGAATTTCTGATGCAGACTGTCGTTAAACCACATTAACACTGTACTTAGAAGGTGATGCATTTCTTTTCATTAGTATTTATTTAAGAGTTTTTAATGTGTTACACTAACTTAGAGATTTAGAAGCTGGGCTGTTAGAAAGATTGAAGATTTTTGGGAGGATTGAAAATACGTTTCATTATCATTTTACCTTTGTGTAGTACCTTACAAATTATCAAATGTTTTCTTATCCATTATCTTCTTTCCTCCTCATAACAACCTGTGAGATAGTGTTATGCCTATTTATAGATAGAGTAAGTAGGGCTCACAGTTGACTGAGTCTGCCAAAATCATACAAGTACAAAGTATTGAGCCAGGTCTTGAACCTGAGTCTTCTTATTACAGGCTTCATTTCACTCCATCACACTGTTTCTTAAAATAGAGATTGTGATACTGTCCTGTGTAACCTTGGTAAATGAGGTTACCTTCTTTACACTGGAGTGTTCAGTCCTATTCTGGCGACCATAGCTTTAGACCAGTATAACCAAAATAATCAAGGGTATGGATAGTCTACTACTAGATAGGCCAAACACATAGAAAAGGATTTGCTGAAAGTATTTAGTGCCAGGAAGGAACAAATCTTAACTTTCACCACATCATTAAGAGAGGCCAACTGTGACAGATGAGTGACTGCTCCAACATGGAATGATAGGGACTGATTTACCTTTCTGCTTGAAGCAATTAAAAACCTGGACAAAATATCTGAAAGTAAAAAAAATAATCCTCTTGAGAAAAGTTGTTAGATAGTTTGCATTTCTGTCATACAACTGTTGCTGAGATGCTTATGTCTGCTTTCTATTTAGTCAGATAGGATAGTAAGATACATATCTACTGAAGAAGCCTTTAGGGTGATGGTGATGTCCATTAGCTGGATTATGGAAATAGTTTCATAGGATAAGGTGGGAAGGAGGGAGGGAGGTAGATTACACACCCAGAAAGTTGTGAAACTTGAAATGTACGAAGTTTGGTCCTCTCCTTTGATGCACATTAGGGCACTGGTAGTTTTATTTACTGTTTTTTTTTTTTTAAAGCAAGGATTAATTTGAATATGGTAAGATAAAGTAGGGGGAAAATACCAAGAAACATGCATACCTGCACCCCATGCAGGAAATGAGAATAAAGATTCACTTAACTGTTATTTTTGTACTGTTGTGCAAATTCACATATGGTGAAGGAAGATTGTGTCTTAATGGACTATTTGCCATTAGCAGGTGAAGTTAACATATATTTTTATAGAAATTGAGCTACCATAAATAATTGCTGCCTCTGTGTGTGTGTGTGTGTGTGTGTGTGTGTGTGTGTGTGTGTGAAACTGGGGTTTGAACTCAGGGCTATGTACTTGCAAAGTAGGTGCTGTATCACCTGAGCCACACCTCTAGTCCATTTTGCTCTGGTTATTTTGGTTGGTGTCTCGCTGTTTCCCCTAAGCTGACCTCAAACTGAGATTCTCCAGATCTTACCCTCCCAAGTAGCTAGGATTACAGTGTGAGCCACCAGTGCCTGGCAGTAATTGCTTCTTTTCTTTCTGTCTTTGCTACTGTTCTATTTGGTTCTGTCTGTTTAAATCTCCTGTAGTCACTTTTTAGTTTGAAATATCCTATTACCTACCTGACTCTACATTTAAGACTGTCGACCTGCATGGAATAACTTACTAAGATGTACAGTTCTTAAAGGCAGGCACCATGTTTTTTACTTTTTATTTTTTATGTTGTGTTTGTGTGTGAGGGATCGAACCCAGTGCCTTGTGCATGCTAGGCAAGTGTTCTGCCACTGAGCTACATCCTCAGCCCCAACGTAGTTTTTATAAAGAATATGCATGTAGCTCAGAGCCTTCCTTCCATTGGGTAGGCAAACCTGTGTTTGTGCAACTTCACTGGTTACTCTTGGCTTTATGGCCATTCAGACATGTTCACTCCATAGAATGCTATGTACTTGGTGCTGCCTGGAGTTCTGTAGTATGGTGGTGTTGAAATCTGGGGAGTGGAGAATGGACAGTGAGAGAGTAGTTAGATCTATGAAAAATGGAAGTCATGGAGCGGCTTATCTGATTTTTCTTCTTTTCTTGCCCTCCAGTTTACTCTGTATCTAATTCTTCAAACGCTAGGCATTTTCTACAATCTGAGCAAAGGCTTTCTGAGTTGGTAAAGGAAGCAGAAGGTTTATCCTGGTATGTTTTATCCAGGAAAAAATATGAAACCTTCAATCAGGCCAATTTAGACAATTGCAGATATTTCATGGGTATTTAATAAAAGCATAGGCAAGAATTCTGTGAGTTTAATAGACTTTCATGATTATAAAAGCAATGCATGTTTATTATAGGAAATTTGGAAATTGTGAAGGTAAAATTCTTCACAATAATATCAATACATATTTGAATAACTTCCCTTTTCCATGCCTCTGTCTGTCTCTTTCTCTTTCTCTTTTGTTTGTTTCTTTCTATGTATGGGAGGGGAAAGGGGAATTTTTGAATACTACTGTGTCTTTTGTGTTAATAATACTTTCCTGTGTTATTGTAAACATGTGCTGAAATTTTTACTATGTAAATATTCCATAACCATCCAGTAATTAATTATAGCTTTAGTTTGTGATGCTTGGCTTTTAAAATTTTTATTTGTTTGTTTCATGTTTTGTGTCATCCTGATTTTAAACCTTTTCTTCTTGGCTACCTTATAAGCTTTACTTGACTTTGCTAGGTAACTGCTTTAGTATTTATTTTGACATGTCTTAGGTTCTCAGTATGGCCAATGTAGTATATTGATAGGAATTGCTTTGGAAATTGTTTCTGTGACTAGAGATCGTATTCCAAGAATCCTATTGTTAGAGACAGGTCTTTTCTTTCATTCTTAATGAGAGTTAGATAAATTTTATTCTAAATCTCTAAATTTAGAATATTATATTACTTTTCCCTGCTGATTAATGACTTTCACTTTTCAGCATTGACTGAATATTTTCTTTTTGGTTGTGAGAATTAAGAATCTTAGATACCTGCCCTTGAGCAGTTGAAATTGAAGATTTTGGTAGGAATTATACTTACCGTTTAATCATCTAAACTTCTGTAAGTTACATTAAAAACACAAAGTAATACTTTCATATTTTCAGAAGTGAAAACTGTTTTAAGATAATTCAAATACATGAAACAGGAGATTGAAATGAATTTGTGTGTGGGTTAGGCATCATCGGTTTGAGTAAATATAGAAATTGTTTTAATCTTAATATGTATTTTTCATGGATAAAAAAGTGAGTAGATTTGACTTTTGGTTTGATTTGATCTGCAAAAGTTAGTTAGTGATTTAAAACTTTATCTGTTTACTAGCCACTTAGTGATTACTGTGTTCAGGCACTGTTTTAGGAACAGATAAATCTTAAATGAAAAAGCAACAAAAAGATTAACCAGAATATTACAATTTACATAATTTTCACAAGCTGTTACCATTGTTAGTCTAGTCACTCACAATTTGGTTCTCAGAGCGTAGAAATATGCTGAGGGTGTCATAAAGCTATCTTCTTAATGGTCTGTTTTTGTTTTTTGCAGAGATGTAAGGAAGTTACAACCACTGGAGCTATTCCTAATGCCAAGATAAAAACCATCAACAAGGGCCTGAAAAATAAAAGAAAGCTTGGTAAGCTCTTTCTCAATATGTACTCATCATTCTTTATTCATATCTTTCACTTTCGTGACTTGGGGACATGGAATTTTAAATAGATTCTAGAGAACAATGTCAGATTTTAAAGCAGATACTGCAAAATTGAATTAAAGTTGGTAATTTGATGGTAAAATTGGAAGTAAATGTATTGAAGTATATTCTTTTTTTTTTCCCTCTGAAGTTTTACTTCTTGGCATTGAGTTGCTTTTCCAGTGGAACAACTGCTCTGCAGAAGATAATAGCAAAAGGAGCATTTTTTTACCTAGTGGCTTATGTTCTTCTGGACTATATTTAAATTGACTGAATATGATTTCTGTGCTTTTAAAGGAAAGTGCTTACTTTGTGAACTGATTCACCTGTGAAATGGTCAGGCAAGTGAAACACGATATTCAACTTTCAGAAACCCATTTCTCACATTGAGTTTTGAACACACCCTTTTTAAAATAGAGAAGATTGTTTTCCCTTAAAATAGATAGCCTCAGCATGGAATACATATAATCAACCATTACTTCAAGATTTGAGGTAAAGTTTATTATTTTTCATTTTTGTGACTACCTACGACAAGGTTCTCAAGTGTGAAACCAGAGTAATGATAACAGTAGATTCTTCCACATGAAGTGCCTGTAAGGCTATATGGATGCTACATATGTTTGTATGTATGTATATATAAAAATGTAACATGAAATACACGACATTCTTCGGTGAGTAACAGGGAATGCCTAATGCTAACAGATGTTCCTGGTTAACCTTTAATAATGGCTATTTTTATTGAGCTAAAACTTGATTAATTTTTATTAAATTTTATCAGAGTAAAACCTAATTTATCTGTACTTGACATATTTAAGTAGTTAAAATGCATAGCTTAAACCTAACTTGTTTAAGGAACTCTAGGTGCTTCATTAGGCAGTAGGTGCAGCCTCATTGCCCTTAGTTTCTTCTCTGGAAAATCAATTTGTTATGTAAAATAGGATTACAGACTCAGAATTTAAAATACAACTTTTTCAGGTTCTAAGTTTCTAGAACGGTGTGCAGGATACAGTTGAAAACTAAACTTTTGCATACGTCAGAATTACTGGTTTTCTGTTACACAGATTGGGACCCTTTGCAGGAGGGAATTGGGTTAGCCAGTGAATGTGAGGAGACCTTGTACATTCAGGTCAGGGAGTCCTCTACCATCTGCAGGGGAGGAGGGATCTGGGAGTCAGTGACAGGCTTCAGAAGCTGTGTGTAAAACGTATTGATGACATGCCATTACAGTATTTGGCAGTGAGGGGTTGTTTTGAGGGCTCACGAAAAGCCCACCTAGAATACCTAGCACACACCTGCTGCCCTAACAAGAGTTTCAGTTTGTCCCTGTATGTGGAACCATTTCCACAAAAGCAGAATACTATTGACCAGTTTCGTTTCTTTAAATATTGTCAGTGCCTTTTCCTTCATCTGGACCATCAGATCTTGGCTCTTGACATTTGTTTATTCATTCATCAAGGGTTCATTGTTCCCTTGTGAAATGGAACAGAAAACTGGTAGAAGCAGTGACTTAGTACTTTCATGTGGAATTCTGGGCATTGTTCTAAGCTGGGTGAGGTGGCTCATACTTTTAATGTAGCTAGGAGAAGCCAGAGATAGAGAGGATTGTGGTTAGAGGCCAGCTTGGGCAAAAAGTTAGCAAGACCCCATCTCAACAAATAGGGTAGATATGGTGGTATACAGCCATAATCCCCGCCATAAAGAAGGAATAGGAAGGAAGATTATGGTCTGAGGCTGGCTTGGGCAAATATGTAACACCCTATCTGAAAAATAACTGAAACCAAAAAGGGTTGGAGGTATGGCTCAACTGATAGAGTGCTTGCCTGGCAAGCATAAGGCCCTGAGTTCAAACCCTGATACCACCAAAAAACCAGAGAAAACCTCCACATTTTAAAAACTTAAATTTTACTTTTTTTTAAAACATTATGAGTATGCATTTTTCTGCATTTAGATTAATATTTCATAAAAACTATTGGTAATTGAAAACAAAAACTGATAAATTATACAAAATGCTTAGTTTCAGCATATGTGCACAAATTTGACAGATTAGAAAAGAAAATGTAAGGATAGAAACTCTCTAGGGGTACAGACATTTTTTTCAAATTGTAGTGTGTAAACAAATTGTAATTATGTATTACCATTGCAGTTAGTAAATCAGGAGTGCAGATATCTAAAACTTGTTATTTGTCATTTAGAAAAAGGCTGGGATTGGTATGTATGTGAAGGCTTTCAGTACATACTTTATCACCAAGCGGAAGCCCTAATGACTTTTGGAGTCGGTCCAGAGTTAAAGGTAGGTCCAATGTGCCTGAATATTAGTTTACATTATGTTGCTTGGAGAGAAAGGTTTATAGTAGAACTAAGGAGGAATCAGTAATGACACTAGGGGCTTTGTGTGTAAGTTGTTTTCTTTCTCTGATCCTTAATTTAGTAAATATGTAAAAGGAAGTGCTTCAATTAGGTGAAGTTTAATGTCTTTTCCTTCTCTAAAATGTAAGATTAAGAGAATTTCATAGTCCCTGGGTTCCACCCCCAGCACTGGAAAAAACAAACAAAAAAAGGATTTATTCATTGTTCCCCATATACCTGATGTTGTGATGAGACTTTAAGGAAAAGCAGGTAAGCATGAATTTAGTTGTAAGGCAGTATGTAAAGTACATATGTACCTTTCTATTTGTTGTACTCTGAATCACCACTTGTTTCCTTTCCCCTTTAGAATGAAGTTCTGCATAATCTTTGGAAGCGCTACCTTCAGAAGAGCAAGCAGGCATATTGTAAAAACCCAGTTTATACCAGTGGAAGGAAAGCCAAGGTAAGTCACTAGTCTGAAAAGTGGGACTAAAAGACGTGTTGTAAAATAGAAGAAGATGGGGGCTCTCATCTGTGTGAGTCTGGGATTATGGTGCTTGTCAGAGGATTTTCAGTGAAGAGGTTCCCGGTATACTCCAGAAGGACAGAGTCCCTAATCTAGATGTTGGAATGAATTTTGACTTACTAAACTAGTTGAAACATGAAGGAATTTTTAAATTAACTTCCTGTATTGAAGCTTAAGGAATTTCTATTTCTTTCTTAAGGGATTTCTGTCGTGCTACTGAAAGTTTTTTTTACCTGCTATTCCTTTTGCTTGGTGTCCTACTTTACCTGGCATTTCAAGATTCACTTCAGATATCTCTTCTCAAGAGCCTTGATGTGAAGGCAAATAAATCTGGGTGCCCACCCTGCCACATCCACCAGAGCAGATATATTTTTAGCAGTTTGTTCTTGACAACTTTATAAATGTACCATGGTACTTTTATTTGGGATAAGGACAGTTTCACTGCTGAGAAAGCAAGTTTGCTAATTGTTGATATGTCTTATATGTGGTACTCATGCTTGAGGGCTAAGAAGAAGAGATTCTGAATTTTTTTGACTCGCATTTGTTAAAAACTTGGGAACTTGGCCCAGCGTTTCCTTGTCTGGTCAAGTCCTCACAGGTTCCATGTGCAGAGTTCAGTGATCCAGGACTGAGAAGCCCAGGTCTGGGTAAAAGGAATAGATTACAGAGGTGAGCCAAGAAGTCACCTCTGAGCTACTCAGGTATTTTCAGTGGTGCTGGTCCTGAGGATGAGAAGGTTACAGGAGTCAAATCATGTAAAACATAGTGACTGCAGGGGAAGAAACCGAAGGAATAGGTTTGGGAAATGTTCTTGTTTAAATATGAGACAATGAATTTAAATAAACTCAAGAGAAAAAACTTGAATTTAGTAGAAAAAGACATTTTATGATCATGCAGGTATGAAGCATTATCTTTTGGGATTTTTTGTTTGTTTGTTTTTTGCAGTGTCGGAAGTTGAACTCAGGGCCTCATGCTTGCTAGGAAGGCACTTTACCACTTGAGCATTCTACCAGTCCTGGTATTAACCTGTCTTGATGCAGGAGATAGGTACTTGTCAAAAAAAGCAAAAGATGCTATATGATTTTTAGATGACACTTTAAAAAAGAAAAGAATTATGCAAACTAATAAATTGATTCTAAAATTTCATAGCTTAGGTATTTGTTGGTTATTTGTTTTTATACACTGCAGCTTTGCATAGTATATGGAAAATAGGAATCGGAACTGCAATTCTCTGTGACTTTTTTTGTTTTGTTGTTGATGTACTGGAGATCAAACCCAGGGCCTTGTGCATGCTAAGCAAACACTCAACCATTAACTGCATCCCCATCTCCTCTCTGTGGCATTTTTATAGTTTTAGGTTAACTTAGGATTTAAAGATTAAAGTTTTGGCATAAATTTTTACCTGGGTAAAATAGTATTAAGAAAAAACTCCTTATGATCAGTTACATATATTTTCCTCAACAGAAAACAGTATTAGCGTCACACTAAAATCCTGGTGAATAAATAAGCAAAAAGTAAAACTTGAAGGTAATATATAAGTTTGTAATACGATTTCTGTTGCAGGAGTACAGCTGTACTTTCTTTTCAAAGGAAGGGAAACAACTACTTTTTGATTAGAAGTTTAGGGATTGGGAATATAGCTCAATGGTATAACACTTGCCTAATGATTTGAGGTCTGGCTTCAATCCTCAGCACTGCACAGAAAACAGAAAAAATCAAAAGCTTAGTCTTCTCAGTAATTTTTGTTTTTGGAGACAGCATCTCTCTTTGTAACCCAGGCTTTCTAAAACCCAGAATCCTTAGGGTTTTGGATGTAACTGTCCTAAGCACAAGAAGAGGTCTAGATCTGAATCCTGGTCTTACTTCTGAGCTGTGGGATCTTTGGTGAGGTAAATTTCTGGAAACTTCTAGAAAAAGCCAACAAGCCAAGAAAAATATAAATCAGGGTAAGGAGAGGTAGGGATTGGGGCACCTGGGAAAGGTGCTATGTAATTGGTCAGGGAAGGCTTTCCTGATGAGGGAGCTTAAGGAAGTGATAGAGTAAGCATGCAGATACAGAGGGGAAGAAATGGTGAAGTTTAGGCCTCACCTGGACCAACCAAATCCAAATCTGTACCTTAACAGGTGTCTAGGTACTTCCTTTATACACTAAAGTTCAAGAGGCACTGCCATAGGTGAGCCATGGTAGGAGCTGAGGCCAGGTGGTAGCAGTGGAGGTGATAAGTGGTAGGATTCTAGATAAACTAAAGAGAGAGCCAACAGGATTTCCTGATGGATAAGTGGGGTGTGGAAAAGAGGAGTCAAGGATGACTCTTAAGGGCTTTGGCCTGAGCAGATGGAAGGAAGGAATTGCCATCTACTGAAATGGCAGGAGGAACAGGAAGATCAGGAGTTCAGTTGTGATAATGTTAAGTTGGAGACAGCAGTTAGGCGTCCAAGAGGAAATGTCAAGTATGCAAGTAGATAGACACAAGTCTGCAGTTCAGGAAAGGCGACTGGACTGGAGATAGCAATTTGAAAGCTGTCAGTTTGCACTATAATAATCCAACCTAAAATGTTGTTTATAAGATACACCAAAATTTTAAGTACCTCTAAGAAAGAAAAAAAGGAATGCTATAAATTAAATTGTGACATGCCACATGCTTATAAGATACACCAGGACTTCAAGAATGCTAAAATAAGGGGGAGTGCATTTTAGAATTAAAATACAATAGTCAATATTTAAAACTAAGACTGGTTGACATCACCAAGGAGTGAGGGCAGAAGAGGATCAAGAACTGAGTTTCAGGCCTGCTAGAGGGTTAGGGTATTTAGGATAAATAAGGAACTGACAAAGAAGTAAGGAGCATTTGGTGAAGTAAGAGGACACCCAAGAGAGAAACAGGACTGTTCTGAAAACAAGGGGAACAGAGTGTTTCAAGAAGAGAGCAGTGGTCATCTGTGACAAATTCTACCAACAGGTAACAAAGAAAGAGGGCTACAGATTGGTCAGGAGAGCAGTGGAGCAGAAAGCTTGACAGGAATGGGGGATAAGATAGACTAAGAGGAGAGAATTTGGAGACAGCAAATCTGGACTTTCCTTGAGGCATTTTGCTGCAAATGTAAAGTGAAATTGTGTAGTACATGGGTTTCAGGAAAAGGTTTCTTTGTTTTTTGAAGTAGGATCAGTTAGTATATTTGTGTACTGATCGAATGATAAAGGAGAGAAGAAATAGCCAACAGTGGAAAGAGTAGAAGTGAGTGATTTCTTTGAGTAGACCAGATAGCCAGGTGGAAGGCATATATGGAGATACAGGCTTTAGATAGGCGGTTGAATGGTACAGAAGAACTGGGAAGAAGGCAGAGGATGTGGGAATGCTGCTGAACCAATGCTTGTTTTCTTCTAATGGCTGCAGTTTCCTCAGAAGCATGTGCTCCTCGGCCAGCTTTTGTAGCTTGCCCGTAGGAGGGAATGTGTTTGGCTAAGAATAAAAACATTTTTTCCCATCCCTGATTTTTTCTTGCCTCATTCTCTCGTGAGCTTCTTAAACACATGAGGGTTATTTTATTTATTTTATTTTGGTGGAACTGGAGTTTGAACTCAAAACACATGAGTTTTATCTCCTTGTAATAAGATTAAGTTTCTTGGCTGGCAGGGTTGAGGGCATGGCTTTTTGGCTTTTTTTTTTTGTGGTATAGCTTTTTGATTGCAACCAGTTCCTCACAGTAGTATCAGCTAATGAGATCTTTAAAAGGAGCCAGGCACCTGACCTTTTTAGGGACTCTGACTACCATTTCAATAGTACATGTATGATACACAAACAATGTTATGAGATAGTATACACTTTATAGTTACGGGTTATAAATAGTGCTACAAGGTTCAAGGAAACAAGAAATCATTGAAGAGGAGTGGGTTGGAAAGATAGCATGATAGAGTAAGTAATGAGTTGGAAAAGGAGAAGAGAAGGTCAGGAAGGAGAAATGGAAATAGCAAGGTAAAAATTTAAAATTCCCCAGGTAGGGTCAACAGAGAGAAGCTAGCTGTGTGCATGGAGTCATCATCCACTCACAGTGTTTTTATTGTGCGAGCACTAGTGCTACAAGTGAAGTGTTCCTGGGAGAAGACCTGAGGCATGTGGTGGCAGCCTGCTTCCCCACTCACTCCTGTCTGTAGTCCTTTTCCAAGAAGCATTGTGGGGGCTATCAGGGAACATATTCTAGAAGTAAAGGCCTTTCAGACATAGGGACTTGGCAGACAGTTGCAGTTCTCTAGAATGGTTTCTCATGATATTTATCATGGTCAGGAATTGTTTAAGTTCACAGAAATTAACTGAAACAGTTATGCAATAATTTTATTTATATTATTTTGTGAATAGGTATTGGAAGATAATCTGCATCATGCAGATGGGACTAGTGAGCCTGAGCTGCTAAGTGATACTAACTATCCGGTTGAAAGTGGAGCAGAATCTCCATCCGATACCCAAACTCCAAAGCACTTCCCCATCATCAAACCATCACAGCCAGGTAAAAATGAGAACTAGACTCTTTAGAATTTTAAATCTGATATTGTATCTTAAGAATAATTTAGTCATAGCTCCACTTTCCAAGGAAGAGAACTTGGCTAGCAAAGAAAATGACTTGCCGATTCATATGACTAAGAGAAGGCAAATTAAATGAATTCTTTGTGCAAGTTTTAAAAAGGCACAATGTCTCTCCAGGAAAATGTTTTCATGTGATTTTACAGGAAGATAAAAAGAAAGTTGTTCCAGAAAGGAGGCTAGCTCAGAGATACCAATTATTTTTAAAGCATCATGATTATTTTCCTAACCTGTGTTAAGTTTTTGTTTGCTTGCTTGTGTGTGAGTTGCTTTTTTTAAATGGTCGTACTGGGCTTTTGAATGCAGGGTTTTTTGCTTGCTAGTCAGGTGGTCTATCACTTGAGCCACACACCCCAGCCCTGGTTGCTTGTTTTTTGATAAATGATGTCTGGAGCTTTGCCTTAGTTTTACAGTCAAATTATGAATACAACTCAATACAAAACTATAAAATGCAGACACTTACAAAGAAAATAAAATTATGAGTCACTGTACCCTCAAAAACAATCACTATTGCTATAGCCTATCATCCAGATTTTTTTCTTCACCTGTATATAAAGAGAAATGCAAAATTCTTTGTTGTTTTTGCAAGCATGTGAATTGTCTCTTCATTCTTTTTTTTCCCCTGGTTTTTTTTTTTTTTTTTGAGTGAGGGTCACATTATACAGCTCAGTCTGGTCTCAAACTCACTATGTAGCCAGGATGACCTTGAACCTGCAGTCCTCCTGCCTCAGCCTTTCTGAGTGTTAGGATTATAGATGTGAGCCACCATGCCCAGCATCATTCTTTAAATTCATAACCAAAATTCTCTGTGTATATAATTCAAATAGTTCTCTGTCTTGTTATAAAAAACTTAAAATATCACAACAAAAAAGAAGTGTAGACGACTGTCCTCCCAAATGTTCTGTTCCCAAGCGGCATTCACTTTCAACTCTTTTGTAACTTCATATCTCTATATCACATGCTTCTAGTATTTCATCTTAATTCATTAGCTATTGAATTCCCATTGTGAAGACAAAAGTTTTAGCTTTTTCACATTCCCTACTGCCTCTTCTCCTCCCATGATTGTGCATTTCCCATCATCTTCTCCATGTAAGGTTTGACTAGGTCAATACAATAATCATTTAAATTATGAATATATAACTGTGATTCAGAACTAAGACAATGTAGTTTAGTATGATTAGCCTTTGTCTGTGTCCTTTGCTTTTTCCAGAGCTGATTTTTGCTTTGTTATTTAGTTTCTCTCTACTTACTGCTTGCCTATAATTTATTGTTAATGTATCTTCACGTTTTCACTAGACCTGGGATCTCTCTTTACTGCCCTCCTGAGATCCTGTCATCTTTCTTTTGTTGGATTTCTTTTTTCCTGGGTCCTATTTTATTTTCGTTCCTGTCTTAATTCTCATTTTTGTAGTGCATCTTTTTATTTTGGCAGTACTGGAGTTTGAACTCAGGGCCTCAGGTGCAGGTACTCTATTGCTTGAGCCACTCCAACAGCCCTTTTTTGTGTTGGGTATTTTTGGGTAGGGTCTCATGAACTATTTGCCAGGCTGGCCTGCCTCCTGAGTAGCTTTAATCTCAGTCTCCTGAGTAGCCAGGATTACAGATGTGAGCCACCAGCACATCTTTTATTTTTTTATAATTTCACAGAAGGTATTAATATTTCCCCTTTCATTTATTGGTCCTTTTTATATTAGACCCTTCAAATGTTTAATGAGCCTAAAATGGCTCTTCCTCTCTAAAAATAGAAACAAGGAGCTGGGAGTATTGTTTATGGTAGAGTGCTTTGTATGGGCATGGCCCCGGGTTTGATCCCTACCCCTGGGAAGAAAGGAGACAAAATCCTTGTGCCCATGGGACGTCTTATCAGTTTTGCTTTGTACCCAAGGGTGATCTCACTGAGTTGTTAGTGAACCTCCAGCATTGTCATCTTAAAATCTCCCTGCCCCCTTGGACTAGAGGTATGTCTCAAGCAGTGGAGCACCTTTGAAATCCTGAGTTCAAACCCCAGTCCTGCCAAAAAAAGGTAATAATAATATTAACCTGGATTTAAAATCTTTCCCCCTTGAGCTATTCAGATCCTCCAGAGAAATGTCTTTGGGTCCTCTCTTTCAGAAGTGTATAATCTTGGCCGTTCTGGGATATGGGTGGGAAGAAAGGGAGTGAGGGGCTATGGAAGTACTCAGCAGGTTTTCAGTTCTCACCTGTTTGTGACTGGCATGCCCTACTCTAGAGACCTTTACTTTCCTTTCTTTAGAGAAGAAACTCCCATTTTTCTGACAAGGTTGGGGAGGGGCAGTCATGTGGCTGCAGAAAGTTGGGGTAAGAATCTGGATATCTGTTTCTTAATCAGACTTTCAGCAGTCCTCCTGGCATTAGTCCTGCCCTTATCCATTTTCCAGGAATATCTGTTTAACCAATTCCTGAGTTGTCTTCAGGGATTCCCCAGTGAAAAATTCAATTGGTTTTTGGCCTTCCCCATTGCTGGCTTTGGACCTAGCTCTGTCAGGGCTGCCAAGGCAGTAATCACCTGTCCATATGTTTTCCAGCTTCTACATTTTTTTTTTCATATTTTTGAGACAAGGTGTGTAGCAAGGCTGACCCAGAACTCATGATCGTTTCTGCCTCAGCCTCTCAAGTGGTGGGATTACAGGTATATGCCACCATGCCCACCCCAGATTCTAAAATTTTATTGCTCTTCTTTTCCATGTTATTTGTTTTTGCATTTATGTTTTTAAAATTCATTTACCACAATTATCTTTGGAGTGGGAGGAACAGATGGTAATCTTATCTGCTGTCTTAACTGGAAGTCCTTACCATAAGGACTGTATTACAAGTATATGCATGTGTGTGTGTGTGTGTGTGTGTGTGTGTGTATGTATACAATATTGTACATACATATGTTTATATATTTAATGGAAATTTGTATTCTTATTCTTTTAAAACAGTGGTCCTCAAATGGTATCTTCTATCAGAATCATCTGGAAGGCTTATTAAACTGCAGTAATTTGTGTTCCTGCTACATTTTTAGATAATCCTAATACTGCTGGTCCAGGGATTTTACTTTGAGGACCACTAAGCTAAAGCATTCTGGAAATTGTTATATTGTATACCATTGTGTAGGATTATTTAATTTAACTTCTAATGCTGGTGCTTGGGTTGTTTAAATTTTTCTCACTTAGACATAGTGCTGCACAATATTCCTTCACTGTAAACCTTTTTGTGTTTTTAAAATCATTTCTCTAGGATGAAATCTTAGAACTGCTGGACCAGTTGGTCATGGAATATTTGTTGAGTTTCTACTCTGTACTTGGGACTGCTCTGGGTCCTGGGGACACAGTGATGAAGCAGCACTGTCTGCCTTCAAGGTGCTTATATTATAGTAGGAAGAAATAGGTAGTAAATGCACAAATAAAAGAAAAGATTTAGTGTCATGAAGGAATTCGTTGTAGGATTTGGAAAAGGGGATTTTGAAAAATGATAGTGAGAACTTCTGTCCAAAAAAGCTTGGAGTTTCTCACTGTTACTCTCAGTTCTACTTCTCTATCCTCACCCCTTAGGTGACTTTACCTAATACCATGGCTTAACTACTGTTAGCCATGTCCTGAAACTAAAAACTTCCCACCACTAGTCCCACCTCTAAAATATATAAACTTTTGTATTTAGCTGCTTACTTACCATTTCCATTGTTATGTTCAGTAAGATCTCACACTTTGTAGTTTTTGCCAGGTTTGGAAGTATGTATCTGTAATCCCAGAACTCTGGAGGCAGAGGCAGGAGGATCACAATTTTCAAGACAGCTGGGCTATGTAGCCAGACCCTATCTCAAACAAAACAAAATATTGAAGTTCTAACATCTTTTGGGAGAGAAGAGGGACAGGGTCTTTCTTTGTAGCCCAGGCTGGCTTTGAACTCTCAATCCTCCTGCCTCTACTTCCCAAGTGCTGATACTACAGGTATGCATCACTACACCTGACCAGTTTTGACATCTTGACTTCTCTTGTCAAACCTGCTCTTTTGCCGTCTCACTTGTGTCAGTAAATAGCATCTTCATTTTTTTTTATTGTTGTTGCTGCTCAGTCCAAAAATCTTAGACTCATACTTGTCTCTACCTTTTCTCTTATACTTTACATCTAGTCTGTCACCAAATCCTTTTGGTTCTGTGTCTAAAATGTTTCTAGAATCCATCCATTTCTCTGTGAAAATTTTAGATTTGTTGAAAGCCAGCATGTTTTAGTTGGGTGCATGGCATTATGGGAAAAATGAATCAAGTATCCACAGTAGTCATGTAAAGAGCACGGAGTAACATCTGATTTTGATGAGCAGTATTAATGTGTGCAACAGTAGTTTTGTGACAGTAATGTAGCCTATTGCATGCTACATTTCACATCATGGATGCTCAGATCTAACTGCTCATATGACATAGGTAAACTTGTAATTTTAGAGTCCTGAAACTATTCATCCTGAGCATTCATGGTGTTTCCTTAGCAGTGTTCGCCTAAGAATCTGTGCATACCAGTGGTCTACCATAGTTTCTTACTCTTACTCCACCATCATCTTCTGCCATTTTCCTTTACACATGATGCTTTCCCCATACTGGCTTTGCTTTTGCTCTTGTTCACTCCTGCTCATGTGTTTGGTATTCCTCCTAAGATCCTCAAGACTGACTGAATTCATTCAGCCCTCTGTTCACATGTCTCCTTCTCAGAGAGGTCTCTCTGCACCCATATAAAATAACACATTTCTCCTCCTTTCCCATCAGTGTATCCCCCTACATTGCTGTTTTTCTATATAGCACCACCATCTGTCCATTGTTTTTTTGTTTATAGACAAGATATTGTTCATTTTCATTTCCCAAAACGTAGAAGAGTGCCAAGAAGAACAATGTGAATAAGTATTTGTAGATTGAACAAGTGAGGTTACTGTAATGCCAAATGGTAGGGGTGTCTGGAGAATGGGATGAGAGAAGGTACTGCTTTAGCTGAATAACTTTGGAGAGGCCTCTCTGAGAAGAAGACATTTCCACTTTGTAATTGTTTATCCTCTTATTTATTTTAAAAATGGTTCATGTTCACACTTGAAAATTCAAAGCATTCATCTCTGTAAAATCTCATCCAATCCACTTCCACAGATAACCCTCAATTGCCCGTCTGGCTGATTTCCCTCTAAACCTTCTTTGTTCTTCATTGACAAATTGCTCTTGCAATGGTAATCAGGTCTCACCTAATTTAATATATCTTAAATGCCTGTTCTTTTGTTGTCCACAGTAGTTACTTGCGTTTTTAAAATTCTTTTTTTTTTTTTTTTTTTGGTGGACGTACTGGGGTTTGAACTCAGGGCTTCACACTTGCTAGGCAGATGCTGTACCACTTGAGCCACTCTGCCAGCTCTCAGTTTTAAAAATCTTGCTTTATCCCCTAAGAAACAGCATCTGTTTGTTCTGGATCTCTTGATGGAATTGAGTACTCAGAGCGAAAGGAGAAAGGAATTGTGAAGATGACTGTGCCAAGAACGCTTGCTTTCTGCTGTCTGTCGTTAATTTGGCAGAGAGAAACAGTTACTCTTTCAGATCTTTTGAGGTAAGCAGAACTTATAATGTTCTGACAGTTATCTGTGTGAACTAACGGAATAGCCTTTGGATAGTTGAATTGTGTAAAAAGGCCTAAAATAAGGATAGGACTGGGAAGGTTTTGGGTAGCCTTAACTTCTGAAATTTAATTCCTTTTAAGGCTAGTAATTCATTTCTTTGGTTTTGTTATTTATATAGTGAAAATAATAGTATTTACTGCACATTAAATATTAGAAAATTAATTATCTAATGTGAATAATATATTTTGAAGAGAAAAGTGACATTAAAATATCGGAGGAGGAATATTAAATATTTTCTAAGAAAAGATGAACCAGTGATCTTTACTGGTTTAGTTACAAAAATATTGATTACTGGTATAATTTTAAAAACATTGGTGTTGTAAGAGCTAAAATATTTACTGTCTATGTTTACTAGGAAAAAGTTGAAAACCAAACTGTAGGAAGAACCTGTTATACAGATAGTAGGCATTTACATGTTTTAAGGTAGTCTACAGGATTTTTTTTTTGACAGTACTATAGTTTGAACATAGGGCCTCATGCTTGCTAGGCAGGCACCCTATCACTTAAGCCATGTCCTAGCCCTTTTTGCTTTAGTTATTTTTCTGATAGAGTCTCACATTTTTGCCTGGGGTATTCTCAAACCTTAATCCTCCCAAGCTCTCTGTACCAAATAATTAAGATTACAGGTGTGAGCCACCATGCCTGGCCTCTACAGAGTTTTAGATGGAAAGACTGCTGTGAGGAAGTAGCTGCTTGAGCTAAAGCCAACCCCAGTCTTCAAGATTTTAAAATTAATGAATTGAGTAAATTATAGCATCATGTGTAAGAATTAATCACTTAATACATGTACTAAAATCATTAGTGTGTTAATCGTTTCCCTTCCTTTGTCATCAATGTGTGGAGTGCTTATAAGAACACAGATTTGGAACCAGACCCTTGGCTCTGCCACTTATTTTTTATATGACCTTGAGTAAGTTTTTAAATTTATTTCTGCTTCTGTTTCCTCATTGGTAAATGGAGCTAATAATAATAACTACCTCATAGGGTTCTAACTATTTTCAATAATTAGCACTACATGAGAAGTTCTGAGAACAGTGTCTGGAGCATAATGAGAGTTCAATGCTAGTCATGATTGTTTTTGTTTTCATCATCACCATCATTGTCATCATCATTGGCAGTAGGCCCTTTTATTAAATAAAATGCTTCAAGTAAATGATGATAGTGCCTTTGTATTTGGCCACATCAACCACATAACAAGGTATGATTAACTCTACATGCAGATAGCTCATGATTCAGTGAATTTTACTCTTAAGTTGAAAAACTTCATCATGCTTTGTATGCCCCCATTGGGTGATATCATCCTTTCTTCCAAGGTTTTAATTACCATGTGTATGCTGATGACTCCCAGACTTACATCTCCAGCCCAGACTTGTCTACTGAGTGCCAGATCCATCTTTTCATTTGTACACCTACCTTCTGGACACAACTACTTGGATGTCTTTATGGTGTCTTAAAATCAGCATGACTGAAGCAACTTAGCATCTGTCCAAATCCAGTTTCTCTTGTGTTTTCATTCTTAGTACATGCCCATGCATCCTGTTGTGTCCTGTCCGGAAACCTAGGATCATCCTTGACTCTTTCCCCTCTCCACGCATACAGTTAGTCATTATGTCCTATCAATTATACTTCCAGAATTACTCTAAAATCATTCTTTTCTCCATTCCCTGCACCTTTATCATCACCTGGATTACTTAATGATTTCCCAACTGAGCTCTGTGTCTGTAATCTTGTGTCATTCCTATCCATTTTCCTCCTGATAACCAGACGGATCTTTCATGTCTTTAGAGCTGCCCGGAGCAATCTAGAAGTAGGCAGCAAAACTCCTAGAAAGTGAAAAGTTGGAGAAAATATTTATTGAAATTCTTCTCAGGGAGAATATTATATGTGGATGGAAGAGTGGGGATAAGCTCCTGTCCCCTCTTCACTCCCTCCCTTGGTCTTAACCTTCCCTCTTAACCTCCCCCATTCAAGGGGAATTCTAAAATGCCTTCAAGGAGATTGGATCTCCTTAGCTGGAGGGCTTTAACTTTGCTCTGTGGGGTACACAAGTTGGGAACAGAGTTTAGTTGCTTGGGGCAATAGGAGAAAGGGCTCATTCTCTGCTTTTCTCCCAGAAAAAAAGTTCTGAGTCACAAATTCTCAAAACTGTGGCTTCCTGAATGACAGCTTCAGCATTACATGGGAACATGATAGAATTGCAAATCCTTAGACCTATTCTAGATTTTCTGAATCAGAAACTCTGAGGGTAGCATCTGGTAATCTCTGTTTTAATAAGTCCTTCAGGGGATTCTTAATGAATACTGAAGCTTGAGAACTAATGCCAAGTTATGAAAAACTAGTTAAAGAACATTGATCTGAAGGGAGTCAGTTACTAACCTGGCCAGGATGCCTATGTATCTTAAGTTGATTGTGCATGTCATTCCCCTGTTTAAATATAGCAGCATCCATAGTCCTTGGGATAAATTCATATACCTTCACATAACCTGTAAAAGACCCTGCCTGCCTAGCAAGAACAACAATAATAAAGAGCCAACATTTATTTCACAAATACTTACTGAATATCTACTATAACCAGATTTTGTTCTGGAGCTTAGAATCTTTTTTTTTTGTGGTACCGGGGCTTGAACTCAGGTCCTTCACCTTGAGCAACTCCGCCACCCCTTTTTGTTGGTATTTTCGAGATAGGGTCTTACGAACTATTTGCCCGGGCTGGCTTCGAACCATGATCCTACTGATCTCTGCCTCCTGAGCAGCTAGGATTACAAGCATGAGCCACCAGCACCTGGCTAGGAGCTTAGAACCTTGAGATACAGTTGTGAGCCATGTTGGTCAAGTCCCTAGTTGCATGAGGTTCAAGACCAGTGGAGGAAACATGAGCAAATACATGAATAAATGAGAAAATGATCAGATAGGGAAATGTAGTCTGGAAAATTTAAATAAGATGATGTGATAGAGAAAGAGTAGATGGCTGCTTTAGATGGGTTATTATGGAAGGTGAAACTTGAGGTACTTCAAATGATAATATAGCCAGCCTGTGAGGACCCAGAGTCCTAGCATTCCAGGTAGAGATGATGTTAGTGCCGAGCCGCAAAGGAAGAGCTGGCTCAGTATGATTAAGTTGCAGGTGAGTAGTGTGAATGAAGGAAGAGAATTCAAAGGAGGAGGGGAAGGACAATGGCAGAGAGATGATAAGCAGGGCAGATGCATGGGCAGATGCATGTCTTTGTAAGCCAAGATAGGAATTAGGATTTTTTAAATTGAAGTAATTTATATGTGATAAAGTTCACCCTTTTAAAATGTGCAGTTCATTAGTTTTCAGTATATTCACAAAGATATGCAACCATCACTTCTGTCTACCTCTAGGAAACCCCATGACCATTAGGACTGAATTTTTTTTTTTATTCATATGTGCATACAATGTTTGGGTCATTTCTCCCCCCCTTTCCCCCTACCCTTTCTCTTTCCCCCCACCCCCTCGCTACCAGGCAGAAATTATTTTGCCATTATCTCCAGTTTTTGTTGTAGAGAGAGTATAAGCAATAATAGGAAGGACCAAGGGTTTTTGCAAGGGTTTTTGAGATAAGGATAACTATACAGGGAGTTGACTTGCATTGATTTCCTGTGCATCTGTGTTACCTTCTAAGTTAATTCTTCTCAAACTAACCTTTTCTCTAGTTCCTGGTCCCCTTCTCCTGTTGGCCTCAGTTACTTTAAAAGTATCTGCATTAGTTTCTCTGCGTTGAGGACAACAAATGCTATCTAGTTTTTTAGGTGTCTTACCTATCCTCATATCTCCCTTGTGTGCTCTCACTTTATCATGTGATCAAAGTCCAGTCCCCTTGTTGTGTTTGCCCTTGATCTAACATAGGACTGGATTTTAAGTGTTATAGTAAGCCCTTGGGCGGTTGCAGCAGGAGAGACATGATCTGATCTATGATTTTAAGAGATCATTCAGGCAGCTGTCTGGAAATTGGATTTCATGAAGGGATAGGTTGAAGCAGGGAGACTGGGTGGTCTTTTCCTATACTTTAGGCAAGAAATGGCGGCTTGGACGAGGGTGGTGGTAAGGGAAGAGGGAGGAGTAAATGGGTCAGGATCTGTTTTGCAGCACACATGACTCATTTTTAAGAAGTGCTTCTTAAGTGATCTGTAGCCAAGAACCAATTTGTTAAATTTTCAATCCATCACTCTGTTGGTCAGGAGAGGCGTTTGGGTGCTTTTAGTGTGTGCCAGTTCCTCTGTCAACTTCCTAGACCCAGAGAACCAGCTGGCAGTACCTGCCAAGGGAAATAGATTGTTCAGAACTTTGATTCTGCAGCCATTCTTTTGGGAATTTTTTTTTTTCTGAAAGGAATTTCAAATTCAAAAAACTTTGGACAGAGATTAAAAAGCGTTCACTTATAAGTGGTGAATAATTGTTAAAACTCCACATATCCCAGTAACTGCTCTGGGGATACATCTCTTCCAACCAAGTGGGTTTCTCTTTCCTCTGCACCTGCAGCACTGAGTGTGGCTCTCTGGTAGCTGTCTGTATGACCGGTTAGGGTGGGAGTGGGCCTACTCTTTATCTCTTACTCATCTCTGAACGCATAACACACTGCACAGTGCTATCACATAGTATCACAAGGAGGTAAGCACTAGATTATGAGCACATTCGCATGGTGGAATTCTAGATAGTTTTAAAAGTGATAGGCATACACTACATCATGTACATAAAATAATATTAAGCCAAAACTGTAGTTCTAAAATAATATGAATAGGGATTACTATGCAAAACTATTTTTATATAAACTAAAGGAACTAATGGAACTCAGCTGGGGGAGGATTTCACACTATTTTTACATAAAATTTTTATTATCAACTTTCAGTAGACTTAAAGTTAAAGAAATCGCATTCTAAATTTGAAATTAAATTTGGATAGATTTTCTCTTTTAACTGCTAGAAAGCCGACAGTCATACGTCACCTCCACTCCGGCAACAGCAGACTGAGGCATTGCATTGTGTGCTTTGTCCTGACTTTTATCTCCCTTAACACCCTTCTTACTTCTTGAATCTTACATTTAAGATTCCATTGCTCATTCTCTGTTCTCCTTGCCTGCTTTAGTTTTCTCCTTAACATTTTTCTTACATACCAGATTAATTGATTTGCTGTGTTGATTGTCCTTCTCTTTTCACTAGAATTTAAGCTCTGTGAGGACAGGAATATTTACCTGTTTTGTTCACTGCTTTATATCTGCTGTCTAGACTAGTACTGGTAATACAGTACTCAATAAATTTCTGTTGTATGAATGAATGAATTGTAAATAAATGTATCCATTCATAAATGGTGTAGTTTTCTTCAAACTCAATACTTGACTCAAAATATTTGATCTCCTACTGTGTGCAAGACATTTGGATGAAATCATGAGTGAGCAAACAGACACGGTTCCTTCCCTTAACAATTCCTCCAACAACCAGCATGAACTGGATGCCATGCACTGAGATAGTCCTGAAGACAGAGGGCAGATGGGAAGGTCTGCCATCAAAGAAAACGGAGCAAGGAACATCTGAAGAAGTGAGGGGTAGTAGGAATGGAAGAAATGCTGGGTTGGGCAGCCTACTGATGAATTAACAGAAGACACACACTTCTTAGAATATTTAATCTAGTCAAAAACTTAAGAGGAAAAACAAAAAAAAATAATTAAGAGACTCATAAGCTAATTGGCTAGTCTCGCACATGGGTTCAGAGAACAGTAGATATGATTTAATTTATCCTTAATAATATGTGGGCATTAGAATATACTTAACTAAGTCTTCTTTTTTTAAAATTTTCTTGGTGGTACTAGGGGTTGAACTCAGGGCCTCACTTGCTAGGCAGATACTCCACCACTTGAGCCATGTCCCCAGCCCAACTAATCCTTACTTTCCCTTTGAAATAAAAGAATTTACTTTTCAAACCCCAGTACCGCCACAAAAAAAACCCCCAAAACAACAACAACAAAAATCCCACAAAGTTTACTTTGCTAAATCAGTATATAACTCTGATTGAAACTTTGTTTTAAAAATACAGATTTGTTGAAGAGGGCCATATTCCTTATATAAATGCTTTCCAGCATTTTCCAGAAGAGATGAAAATATATGGGCGTGACAAAGGAATCTTTGGCATAGAGGTAAATTACTTTTTTATTTACTTTGTATTCGCTAATAAGACACATAGTATGATTTATATTCTTTTCCTGACTTAGTATTTGGTGTTTTCTGAAATGTCTGAAATCTAGTTTTTAGTCTCCCCAATCATGGAACATTAGTTGCAATTTAATGAAGAAGAGAATCTTAATTTTTTTATTTTCCTTAGGTGATTTCTTCAAGAAAGATGTGTGTTTTGTTGTTACTTGCACACTTATGTTGCTTTGGAGGAATGAGAAGAAAATTACATTGTTTCAAGAGGCACCATTTTAAGCTTGTCCTTGTGTTAGCTTATCTTTTTTTTAGACCTGTTTTCCAATGGAAATACTTCTGACTTTTAATTATTAGTCTTTATCACTACTCATAGTACTCAAAGATTATTTCTATTTCATTGGTTTATTTAGTGTACAAAATGTGCTAAATATCACTATTAAATGTTTTTCTCCATTTACTCACTCAAGACCTTTATGACCTTCCCAGCCTTGATATAGATTGTGGTTTAAAAGACATTTGTTAGCTAGGCACGCTGGCTCACTCCTGTAATTCCAGCTACTCAGGAAGTGATTAGCAGGATCACAGTTTGAGGCCAGCCCGGGCAAAAAGTTAGCAAGACCCCCATCTCAACAAAACAAGCTGGGTGTGGTATTGCAAGGCTGTAATCCCAGTTATGTGGGAAGCCTTAGGTAGGAGAATTGCTGTCTGATACTGGCCGCAGGGAAAAATGCAAGGCCCTACCTGAAAAATGACTAAAAGCAAACAGGGCTAGAGTACCTGCCTTGCAAGTGTGAGGCCAAAACATTTATTGAGTGCTTGCTAGATTTAATAAGGATAACTGTAATTTACAAGATGGTGAAACCAAGGCTCAAAATGGTTAAGTAACTTGGTCCTGGTCATATAATTGGCAAATCATGAAACCTGGATTTGTTCCCATGTGTCTCTCATATCAAAAGTCATGTTTTTTTCTTTCATGCCACAGTAGTTTCTCATTCTCTGATAAGAGCTACAATCAGGGAGGCAGAGCTTCCAGGAATGGTAAAGAGCTGAAAATCTTTCCCTCAACATTCCCCCAAGAACTCGGTTCTCAGAAAATTTACCAAAGGCAAATAATAATTTGGGAAGTATTTATTTGTTAAAAAACAAAACAAAACGAAACATGAACTTTGGGTAAGAATAGTGAAAGTCTTTGTAGCATTCTTAACCTAAGGTTGCTCCCATCTGTCACCCTCACCTTAGTCCCAGTCCCAGCTGGTGGTAAGGTTGTGTTGTATAGCAGGGTGGCTATTACTATCAGCTTCAGTGTTGGAGGGACTGATTTGATTTGAAGCAGAGGGCAAAAGGTCCACACATGGCATGATCAGATAAAATAGAAAATCCCATAGGACATGGTCAGGGAAAAGCCCACAGGCCTTTTAGCCTGAGATTGAGGAACCACTAATGAACTTAGTATACATTCAACAGGGGTGTCCTAGAAAAGCAGAGAGCCACAGTTATTAAGGGGACATCATAAATTCTGAACCTGTGTATCTACTGATTATCATCAAAACTGAAGAAAGTTTAGCATCAATAAAAAGTAATCCCATTGATGTTTCATTACCAAAAGTTAAGGCACAGACTATAATGTGTGTGTGTGTAAATATAAAATTACTTTCATCTGAAACCTTGACATACTTTTCATTATTGTTTTACTTATTATTATTCAATGTCTCAAAGACAAGTTGATTCACTTCTTCAGAAATATAATTTGAGCCATTAAAAAATAGATTGGGGCCAGGTGCCAGTGAGGCACACCTGTAATCCTAGCTACTCAGGAGGCAGAGATCAGGAGGATTACGATTTGAAACCATCCCAGGCAAATGTTCATGAGGCCCTATCTCAAAAAAAACATCACAAAAAAAGGGCTGGTGGAGTAGCTCAAGGTGTAGGCCCTGAGTTCAAGCCCCAGTACTGTATAAAAAAAAAAAGAATTGGGATGTCAAATTATATAAGATTTAATCTTTGTTTGTTCACCTAAGTAATTTATTACTTGGTAGTACACAGTTTGGGGAGATCCCTTTTATTAATGTTTATGTTAAAAGGTTTGCTTTGAGAAGAATGTCGTCATAACAAAAATGTTCAAATTCCTTCCATTCAAATATCCTTTCACAAACAGGTTGATACGGGGTTTGTGCCTTTCCAACTTGTCAGTGTTAATATAATGCAGATATAAACTGAAAGCAAATGTTGTCTTTGAAATTATTTTAGGGGAACTGCTTGCAGTTTATTGCCAAATGAGAATCTAACTGAAGTAGAGTGTACTAGGTTCCTTTATTCATGGTTTCAGTTACCCATGGTCAACCATAGTCCAAAAATATCAAATGAAAATTTCAAGAAATGAAATAAACCAGTCCTGAGTTTTAAATAGGGTACCATCTTGAGTAATGTGATAAATCCTGTTTGCTCCTGCCCAGGATGTGAAGCCTCCTTTTGTGCAGTGTGTCAACAGTCTGTGCTGTCCTCCTGCTAGTCACTGCATTAGCCATCTTGGTTTCCAGATCACTTGTTGCAGTATTACTATCACAGTGTTTGTGTTCAAGAAACCCTTACCTAATGGCTGCAAACACATGAACAGTGATGTTAACAATTCAGATATGTCAAGGAGAAGCCGTTCCTCTAAGTACTTCTTTTAAGTGAAGAGGTGAAAGTACAATAAAATGTTTTAAGAAGTCAGGAATGGTGGTACATGCTGGTAGTCTCAGGAGGATTTTGGTTCAGGACCAGCCAGGGCAAAGATAGCAAGACCTTGTCTCAACAACAAAAAGTAAACCAAAAACCCCAAAAGCGTTGGGGATGTAGCTCAAGTGGTAGAATGCTTGCACAGCCCACATGAGTCCCTGGGAAGTTTTGACAGACCACGTTTACGTTTTATAATATTGTCGTATTTTATCGTTAGTTATAAATTTGTTACTGTACCTAGTTTATAAATTAAACTTTATTATAGGTGTCTGTAGGAGAACAGGTATTACATATTTCAGGTCAGTCTGGGGCTTTTCTAAGAGTCTTGGAGCATATGCCTGACAGAGAAGGGAGGAGAAGGGCTATTGTAGTTCACAGTGGAAGAAGAGAAAGTCAGTAATGAGAGTGACACCATAGGTGCTTTGAAAGGGAAAATTAGGGTGTCAGGGGATTAATAAGAGAGTTCCCTGGCAAAACTGATGTAGCCCTTGAATATTTTTGTAAATTGATTTTGTTCAAAAGGATTTCACAGTCTGTTATCATACAGTTTTTGCTAGAAGTTTATACCAAAAAGAAAAGTCAATGTCTCATTCATTCTTTGTTATGTGAACTTAATAAATAAGTATAATTATAACTTAGATTTTGTTCAGAATAAGATGAAATAAACTTACTGGTATGCTTTTTAATTGTTTCTCAAAGTCCTAACCAAATCCCTCTTCACTATTTTCACCAATAAAATTTTGACTTTTTTTTTTTTTGACAGTACTGGGGTTTGAACTCAGGGTCTTACACTTGATAAGCAAATGCTCTACCATTTGAGCTGTGCCCCCTGCCCTTGTTCCCTATTTTTTAAGTAGATTCACTTTGAGTGGCTTTTATTGGTGTGAGTTATCTTTGGATAATAATAAAATAAAATAACAATGCAGTGTTGCTATAAAAGTCATGCTTATTTTCACAAACGATGATCTGTGCCAGGCATGGTAGTGCCAGTCTGTAATCTTAGCTACTCAAGAGGCAGTGCTCAGGGAGGATCAAGATTCAAGGCCAGCCCAGGCAAAAAGTTATGAAGACCCCTCATCTCACCAAATAAGCTAGGCATGATGGTGTGTGCTTCTATCCCTAGCTTCGTGAGAGGTGTAGGTAGGAGCAGCATGGTGCAAGTCCCGCCCCGGGCAAAAACTTGAGACTCTGGAAAAATAAAGTGAAAGAGGGTGGGCATGTGGCTCAAGTGGTAGAGTACCTGCCTACCAAACATTAGTTCCTGAGTTCAAACCCCAGTACTGTCAAATAATAACAATAACAATATAGAATGTAATACTTAAATAAAAATTCTTTATTAGATTATTTACATTATTTTAAAATTTTAACCACTACTTTTTTTTCCCCTTAAGATAAGGTCTTGCTTTGTAGCCCAAGCTGACTTTAATCTTGTGGTCCCCTGCCTCCATTTCCCAAGTGTTAGATTATAGAAATGCACCATCATGCCCAACTGTAGCCACTGTTTTTATTTTTCAAGAATTTTAAATTAATTTGAAGCTGGGAGCTGGTGGCTCATGCCTATAGTCCTAGCTACTCAGGAGGCAGAGATCAGGAGGTTCTTTTTTTGAAGCCAGCCCTCGGCAAATAGTTTGTGAACTCTGTCTTAGAAAAAGGGCTCTTGGTAAGAGCACCTGCTAGTAAGTGTGAGGCCCTGAGTTCAAATCCCAGTGCTGCAAAAAAAAAAGAAAAAAAATTAATTTGACCTGGCTGTTTCATGGCAGTGCAGAGCATATGTTTGTTCCTAATAAAGTATGTTTTGTTTATAAGTAATTGTTTTGCACATGATGGGAATAGAATGACCACATATGTAAATTTTGATTTTATTAGACAGGTGTTTTCCTGAAAAGCTTACTGTAAAGAGTTGAAGTATGTGTCACCATTGACATTCATTATGAAACTGGAAATTTCAAAACCTGGTGAAAAATGCAATCAAGAATTAGAATACTCTATTCATTTAATTTTTTTTATGGTGCTATGGATTGGACCCAGGACCTCTCACACACAGAGTACTCCTTTGAAATTGCATGTTTAAGTCTCTTGTTTTAATGGTACTAGGGTTTGGACTCAGCCTCACGCTTGCTAGTGCTCTAGCCAACCCTGTTTTATATAGGATGTTTCTTTTTTTTTCTTTATTTTATTCATATGTGCATACAAGGCTTGGGTCATTTCTCCCCCCTGCCCCCATCCCCTCCCTTAGCACCCACTCCTCCCCCTCCCTCTCCCCCCACCCCCT